CGGTGTTGCCTTCGTTTCCAGCTTGCAGATTTCGATTTGTTATAGTTATAATACGTCTTCACTAGTGTTCGTAAACAGTTTAAGAAACACTATATGAATATTGTTCTTCCTGGGGATCGTATGTCCGCGTAATATTTTTTCACGAACTGTATGCCAGTGAATACGCACCTTTAACGTTCTCCACTGTGTAACGTAAAATTCGTTTCGCGCATACTAAGGACTACGAGGACTTTGTGAATGAACGCAGGAATCTTGTCGAACACAGACTTCGATCGTATGAAAGAAGTTTTAAAGGGGCGATGATTGACAAAAGACACGGACGACAAAGAATATCAATGAAGACGACGCCTGATTCGCATGACAAGAACTTCAAGAAGCCATGCGACATAGGATATGGAAACACTGATTATATGCGTATAAAGAGTTTTGAACAACGAATAAAAGATAGCAAAAGTACTTCTTCAAATGGGGAAATTCCAATTTTTATAATAGAATAATATTAATCTCGAGGTAAGAATAGGCAATAAAAATAGGTGAGATAGAAATATAAATGAATGTGTGTGTGTGTGTGTGTGTGTGAGTGTACGTGACGAATAAAAATGAGGAATGAATGGTTAAGATAGTAATGTAGTAGTCAGGAGGTTGTAAACCAAGTCCATTTCATGGTCATGAGGCTGAAATAAATAGAATTATTCTTAGGTATTACATTTATCTGTGACGAGTGGACACTTGGCAAACAAATCTTTAGTCTCGTTAACTGTGTACATGCCAGGATGATGCTCTTAGATAATGCTGATTAATGTTTTCAGATAATCCAACGATTTTAAGAAGAAACGATAAAATGTAAAAATATCGACTATCTCGAACTCTGCCACGCGAATACCATCGACTGATAACCATGGATCCCGTGTCCCTGCTTACGATAATTTCGACACTTTTGCGAGAAACGACCGACCAGAATGACTCTCGATAATCTAATCTCCGAGTGGATAGATATCCTGTTTAACATGAATGTTACACGAGCACCTAATTAAACGAATTCTCGAGTTAATCGTCAATAACAATTCAGCGTGCTACAGCCGCTATTTTTTTTTCTTTCGTTCTTCCTTGCTTCGCTGAGTCGGCGTACGGTTTTAATAACACGTCCGTTTTCATTGACGGTCTAGTCGTAAGAACACGCGAATCCACAGACCAACGTGTGATCCCGTCGGCGATGATGGGATGGATCCATTCTCGATGAAAGTTTATTCGTCGAGGGAAAGCTGAATCTCTTATTATTATTATACTGTTTATCCCCAACGACGAAGGTGAGATCCTCTTGAATAATTTCAGCCTTCACCCAGCTTCGTCTTTTCTTTGCCCCGTTATCTCTCTATCACAGACCTGGTCTAGTCGTTCCGGATAAATCAGGCATTGATCGCCACCAACCGGTGGACGAGATCTTTCGTCGACGTTAATCGATCTCGACAGGCAATTATTAGGATTCGCGCAAGAATAAATCGATCCTCTCAGCCAAGACACATGGTACACACGGCCGAGCGTGCAAAAAATTACCGTATAAACGCTCTAATAAGATCCCGACAAATGATACCGTGTGCGCTCGGAGATCATGGAAATCGAAGGATGCGCCTCGTCCAGATCGATTTGCGCATTGAGCACACCCAGCAGTGTACAGTTATCCGTAATATCGGTATATTCGTTTATCCGGGACCGCTGCTTCGACGGTTATCCGGTCGCGCCTTCGTTCGCGCTGTACCTACCTAGGTATGTATGTATGTATGTATGTATGTATTATAATCCACGGTATCTGGGACAAACGAGTCCGCCATATGGCAAGCTCACGACTGAACCATCGTGATGATGATCGTAGAAAATCTGTGACGTCCGCGAATGAAACGTCGACGACGTGAAAAACAAAAAAAAAACCAAGCATTCGTGGACGGTTAAGCGGCCGTCCTTAATCATTCGCGGCGTGTAACGGGGCTACACACGATGTTCGCCGTGATCGGCGCCTAAACCGTTTATAATGTGCTCGTGGCCTCGTGAAATTACTGGACGGTATACAGTGTAACGTTTATGTTAGCTGGTAAATTACGGTCGCGTGGTTAAACGCAAGGAAAACGGAGTCAGTGTTATACTTTGCGTGATGTTTCTGATGCTTTCCTTTTTCGCCTTTTACCGTAAGTTGAGGTAAGATTGACTCAGTTGGGGGTAACTTTGGCATAAAGTCAGAAAATGATCATTGTTGACTTTGTAGGAATTTTTTTTATGCGAAATACCTTTTTACGTAATTCCTCTTAATTTGCGGTAGGTACGCAATTGAGAGACCTTTTTGTCTTCCTGTTCCCGAAGATTGGTCAGGATCGAATAATTTTCATCTATGAAATTCCGGATCTGTTCTCATCGTTTGAATGTGTTCCTCGGCCGCAAATTGTACGGTGATGAGGGTTCACCGCGAAATTACGCTTAATAAGAGCGAACGAGCGCATCGATCGAACTGGAATTAATTCGAGAGCATCGTCTGCAGCGGCGGTTTCTGGGTCCTCGAGGGCCCTGGAATTTCGCTGGGGCCCTCTTCGTCGGGTCCCTTACGAAACGAATCGCCTCTCTATTTTCGTACTTGGCCGCGGCTAAACGGTTTATGCCCGGAGGATTTTTCATCGAAGTTTCATCGTACACCGGTGAGTGAGATCCACGAAGAATACGTTGGGTGGTCTCTGGAAAAGTAGTTTAAAACATACCATCCATGGAAATCATTCTAATTTAGAATTTTTTTTTTACTTTGTAGTAGACTATAGAGATGTGACTATATGTGTGATTAACTTCATTCGGATCTAGTCAGTTTGTATGAAAACCGTGACTGACAATGAGATGATCTAGAGTCTAGAGTATTCTAGAGGACGAAAAGCTTTTTTTAGCCTTTTTTTCGTTCGCCACGCTCTTCGATCCTGTTTCTAATCGTACTAAGGAAACTGACGACTACATAGATGCAAGTGAAATTCAATCTACCTGTTCCTGATAGGAATCTCCTAGAGGAAGAGCGTAGGTATCGTAACTCTTTAGTCAATTACCAACATGTCTAACGGTCGTGATTTTACGGGTTATGACTGAATACAAATAGTACACGCCTCAGTCGATTCGAGACAAACATCGTCGATCTTATGGTGTAGGAACACTAGCCACTGACCTCCAGAGACGAATCCACGCAGTTTATGTCTGATCCTTAATCATCAGTCGGCGCCTAACGGGCATACGAGACTATTATTACACCCTTCGTCAGATGTGATACACCATGGAACTTGACTCACGGTGAATCTTGTGTCGAGCTTTTTGTTACCACGATATCGCGACGGGGAACTAGTTTCTTTGTCACGTCTATCGGAGAACGAACGAATATGAGAAAAACCACGGGCGGGGAGGCCACATTACCAGGAAATGGAGAATGCTTTTTGCAAACGATCAACGTTTCGCAATAGGGATCGAAACCGCCGTGGACTGATGATCTTTCGCCCCTTATCACGGTTAAAGAGTTAATTCGATCCCTTGACGTGCAGACGTAGTAAATTGAAACGCAGTCGTCTGTGAAGATCGGAGGCAAGCAGGAAACCACTACCGGCAAGAAAGATCTTCGGGTAGCCGACAGGATTCCAGCGTGGCCGCGAAATGTTTAATTCAATAAGAGCAATTAATAAAGTCAACCGAGCTCGGAGCTCGGATAAAATCTTCCTTGGAACGTACACGTGTGTTTACGTCGTTTGATCGAGCGCCACGATGCTCTCTCTAACGTTAATCGTTGATTAACTGTAAAAAAAAGGTAAAAAATAGATATCTTCTTTGCGCGTCAATGATCCTTTTGGATGGACCCAGGGAATCAAAGGTGTTCTCGGTATGTACGACGGTTATACATATACATATACACGCAATAACCGCCAAACTAATCTGAAGTTGAATCGAGAAGGAATTTTTACGAGCTGTATGACCGTTCTCGCAGCCACATCTGTTGGGTCCTCGTTCTCTTGTAAAAAAAAAAAAAAGAAAAAAAAAACACGTAAAATGTAACTGTAAATCCCGATGGGCCCGGTCGAGCTCGTCTTCCTGTTCGATTGGTATCGGGGGACTTTCGAAGGTGTACGTGCACGTCGTTAGTTCCAGCGGGAAAGCGTGAATTCACCACCGTTCATCGCTTATTCTAATTGTTCACGGATAATCAAGTGCTCTGTCTTCCGGGTGTCCACATTGTGCCGCTCCGTTCAGCCACTAAATTTCCTTTGAAAGTGAAGTTCCACGTACCGCCGTACCATACCCATTCTCCTCACGAGTACATTGTGCAACGGAGAAATTTCACGAAATTACCGACTATGGCTAATAATTAACGGCAATGGGTAGAGATATCAGGAGCGTTTTCGCGTTTTCAGAGCGCATCATGGCCCGTGAGGTATGCGAAATATACATATCTAGATCGATAGACAGAGTTCACCACGAAACGTGATTAGATTGGATTATTCTACTGCTAGCTGTTCCATTGAAAATTTACTTAGCCAGTATAATCTGATTCAAGGAGACTTTTAAGATGATTGTACTAAATTTTTAGTCAACCTTTTTTTTCCAGAGTTTTCAAGGTTACCGTCAGTTTCGTATAGACAATAAACCATAATTCCTTTACGCCTATCTTTTAGCGGATACTGAGACGAATTCGGTAAGTATCAAACCAAATAATTTCTTTTCTTTTAACTCAAAGAAACTTAAAAAAAAAATGTCATTTACCTTAATTAAAATGAAATTCAAAATGGTGTCCATCAACTACAATACATTTGCGTAAACGGTTAAGAAACGACTGCTTAGTTCTATTTATAATATCTGCACTGATAGTTAATTATCCAAAAAAATGTTCGATCGAACAGCTAGCAGTAGAATAATCTAAACTAATGGCGTTTCCTGGTCCACCGTGTATAGATCGATATACATATGTATATGATGATGTCTGAAGACTGTTCACCAACCTTGGAAAGGCTAGCCTGAGGTCGGATCTAAGCTTGTTCAGAAGCTCGCTGACCGAGGTGAATTGTCTCAAGGTCATCTCGCCGCTTCCGGAAGCGTAACCGGAACTCGAGCTGGTCGTCGAAGGTAGTGTGCCTTGAGAGTCTTGAATGCTTCCTAATGGACGTCTTCCCCATCGTCTGAGCGCGAAGGCGTAGTCCTCTGCGTTGTACGTAGGTGGTCTTAATCGCTCCTGCGAACAGAATGAAGAGATTGTAGTCGGTAATGGACGCGTATCGCGCGGGGAATAGATTAACGGGATGTTAGGTGTGTACCGATAGGGCGTCAGAATGTTGCGACCTAAAGGCAGGTGGGCAACGGTTTCAACGATCATTGTGCCTTGAGCCATCAATATGGCTGACAAATCGTCGTAAATGGAGATTCCTGGACAGCTGTATGTATCATGTGCAAAATATTCATTGTCTTCGAACGAGGTATTTATTACCATAAAGTGATGATTTCCAGGGATCTCAGAAGACACAAGAAACCCCTCTTCTTGTACCTCGTAATACCATATCCAGGCAACGTATCGGGTCGTAGGTAATGCGAATTTTCTTTAATGTTTGTGGATAGAAAACTGGATGTTGGTAGGGAGATGGCGAAATTTTGTAAAAAATGAGAGAAAATATATACAGATAGAAGATTAATAGTTTTTTGCGTGTTACTCATAGGATGACCCAACCAAAACTCTGCATTTGTACAATCAAAAAATTAAAAAACACAAAAACGATCACAAACTGATCCGTACCAACTACGGATAGACTACGTAGGTGTACAAGCATCAGACAGAACGCATTCAGCGGTCAGATGGAACACATCGTCAAGCGGATCAAGCACAAGTAGTACACAGAGACATATATTAACCGGTGAACTAGAGACGAACCAGGCTAAATCGATCTGCGAAACAGAAACCTTGAACTATAGAAAATAAAAAAAAAAAAAAAATGTACGGTAAAAAGAATCGAAAATCGATCGAATGATACTGCAACTATATTCTCCTGTGTACATACACCATATCGAACGAATCGCGCGAATTACAGTACCTACCCGTCGAACTAGGAAATATTTACGCGAAAGAGCGGGAGGAGGAATGAAGTTAATTTCACGGCGCTTCGAACCATAAATCGATGGAAATTATGGTGCTTGTCGCCTCGCGAGTCCATAAGGTTGCGATACAGATTTGAACGCTCGACCGCCAGTCCCCCCCCCCCCCCCGTAGCATCTGATGGACTTCTTCTGATTTTATGGGAACGCAGAAGCATCGAATGGTTACGCTTCGAGATTAATTGCAGAAGCATCATGCGTCGAGTCGCTCGAAAACACACCGAATCCTCCGAAGAAGTTACACTTCTAGGAGGTAGGGGAGTAGGTTGAGGAAAGATTTATCGAGACTTCTTCGAAGTCTGGAATTTAACGATCCATTTACCACGAAGGTCGTATAACAGCTTTCTAATCGACCGCATCAAGGATACCACGAATATTTGAAACAGAATCGCTTCTAACCAACTACGGTTTCACTCAGCTTCGCGGTTAATCGGTCAGTTTTTAACAAGAAACAACGAGTTTCTATTTCGCGGTCACTTACCCTTGCTGGGGCGAAAAGCGTATAGAACCGCAAAAACTTCGAAGCATTTTCTCAGTTCACCTTAGAGGTGGAGAATTATGGATATTCATAACATAACCATCGATACTTTAAATTGTATAGAAAATGTAATCGTATGTAGTCTTCATCTTTGTAAGAAAAAAAAAACAAGCAACAGCTAAAAGTGGATAGCACGTTAATGCAAGTTGGAAATAAACGGAGTACAAAGAAAGTGAAAAATCTTGAAAAGAAGTATGTAGGTTACGATATCAACCACTGATTTTTATTCAAGAACACAAGCGTGTCGATGTTGTGTTGCCTTTATGTTTGATCTTCAACGTGTGATTGTGTGCGATTTTTATAGATGTCATTATTAAAAATAGTTTTCGATAATAGAAACTATCGATAATTCTCCACTTCCAGTTCACATGACGCCACAACAGAGCAGTCACGAGCGGTAATGAAGCCTAGATGAGAGTTCCCGGTAGCCTTTTGGTCGCGATCGCGAACGCGAAACGATCGAGGTCGTTGACAGTCACGATCGATCACTCGCTCAGTTATCAGTATCGACGGAGAGGAGGACGCTGATGGGCCATCATCGTTTGATGAATACGAAGGGAGCTCGTATAACGGCGCAGTTTTCTTCCTTTTTTTCCTTTTCTTTCGGAATATACCCGATAAAGTAATTAGACTTCCTTTCCGGGACGATCGCGGACACGTACGTAAATTGTCTAATGGCGATCGTGATAGAGCGCAGAGGTGTGCACAGATCAATCATGTCTCGTTCCTACGTTTTATCGCGGTATGCCAGACGAACGGGATCTTACCGGGCAGGAAATCGTTAGGGAGTGAAGGGTTTTCCAGACGTAACCCCGTTGTAATTATGCAGGTAATTAGGCGGCCTGTCGACGAAAATAATGTTCCATCGGCTAAACGGGGAGAGGTAGGTATACATATATGTGTAGTTCAGGTGGATCCATGCGAAACAAAACAAACTCACGGGCAACCTACATACGGTATAAACATGAACGTCACGCTTTCTTGCATCTCATAAGTACTTAGTAGCTGGCGTTTTGTCACCGGGAGTGTCGTTTATCATGCGACAACGTGAAACACGCATGAAGAACGATCGTTTTCACGAAGATCAAGATATCCAAGAGGATACTTTGAGTGTCACGTTCGATCTAATTTCTATTAACAGTATTAACCCTTTGACTTTCCAAAGGTTGTATTGCATGTAGGCTAGATGTTCAAATTACTGTCACCTTAAGATTGCAGGATAAATTCGTTTAATTATTTAACGCGTTGTTTAACCTAAAAATCGTCTCAGTTTCGAACATAATATCACTCAATATCCCGTTCAAGTGCACCGCAGTCAAGGTGTTAAAGCGAAAGGATTCGGATCTTGGTAAAATTGACAATTTTGACATACGACTAGGTGAAGTTTTCCACCTGTCCTCCTTTGGTCAATGGTAAGTTACGTTTCGTTAACCATTCAGGGCAGTAAATCTTCCAACGTTACACAGGAGACAAGTCGAGATTTCTTTCAACCAGAAAGAAATGAGATATTTCCCAACGATTAAAATACCAGGAATTGCACACGAAAATAATGATCCTCAGGGTTAAATACGAAGCACACGTCGTGAATCTTTCTGGTTGCGTTAATCATATTAACCCAGACCCGTGACAAATTACCACCCTCGAAGTCCCGCGACGCGTACAAATAGCGGCCAGGGAAGGGGACGATTACCAGCTGCAGAATTCGATGAATCCGGCCGATGCACACGGTTAAACGCGTGTCGGGACATATTAAACCCGTGTGTGCTCAATTAACCGGAGTAGTGAGCGATTGTTCCGATGATTCGGATACACGAGAAGGTACATAATCGACCGGTTGACAGTGCGTATACAAACGCGGGACAAAACGGTGTTTCATAAATCGCATCTATTAGTATGCAGTAGACCATAAGTATTCTCGGAGGAATTATGCAAATTATTCATTAGAGTTGGCCTGTTAAATCGTGTCATTTGCACATGGCCTCTATTAAGGGAATTCCACAGAATTCCAGCTCGAAAGAAATTCGATTGCTTTACAACAGGTTGTTAAACGAAAGGAACTTATTTGGTAACGCGTCTCAGAGAGAAGTTCTTGACGATTCCATCGGTCGATCGATAATTCCAATGAAAAATAATATATAGCGATCGTAGGTAGGTACATGTACATATATGTATGTGTGCATATATGTATACGACGGGGTGATTTTCGCGGCGATTACGTCAAATAGATTAGAACTGCCGGGGATTATGATAGAAAACAAGCTGATTCGACGTGCTTAACTACCCGCAGTCTTCTTCCTTTAACGCTATTCTGGCCCACGTTTATCGAACCTCTGAACGTGACGCGCGCGGTTCTCACGACGTACTAGAGACAAGAAATAAAAAAAGAACGACCGACTGGACACCTATACACTCTATATTGACTGAATGCTGAAAGATATGCTAATCGAAAACATCCTGCCTGCGCTTGAATACTCGCGATGGCGACGACTCTTGTCTCGGTTGCATCTAACTTACACGATTTAGCTTTTTTCCTCGCTCCCTCCCCCCTACCGCTGTTAGCGGCTACCCTCCTATCAACGATCCTTTCGGCGTATAGCGGTGCTTTTGTACGTTAAAGCTACATAATACTAACCTTTTCCGGCTGTAGTCCCCATGGTTTTACCACCAGCAGCTCCTCCTCCGCGTTTGGTGCCATGTCGGACTCGCTGAAACGTAAAAAAAAGAGAAATCAATAGTTTTTTAATTATGATCCGAACGTTTCAAGAACGTTTCACCGTATTCAGGAGAACCGGTGTTGAAAGATTACGCGAGGTCTCTGAATGATTCGACAGAATGATCGGAAGCTGTTAAGAACGAGGTCCTGGAACAACGCGAATCATTCAGAGGCATTGTACGCTTATCCGAAGTTTTATCTCGTTCTCTCGTTGTTTCTTATTGTTAGTTACGAGGTCGAAAGATCCTTGTAACAGCAGTCTGTCTACTGTTAGAAAAGACTTCTGCTCTTGCCATTTATACGTTACAAACTCGAAGAAAATCAGCGTTCACTTATAGGTTAATCACACTCGGTAGAATAAAGATTGATATTAACCTGTTTAGGGAAAAATTGTTAAGATCGGAAAAGAATTATTCTTTTTTCTTCTTCAGCTTCATGTATTTAAAATATATTTATGACAAATTTATGAATATTAATGACAATCGACTGATAGAATATCCTTCTTTTTTTTTAGGGAGCTTCCGAGTGAGCGTTCATTAGCGATAATTGTATTCATTGTATGCATCGTTGGAATCATGCTGAAATGAAAGAAAAAATTAACGTACACACATGTGCCAGTATCCTTTAAGGATGATATTGTAAAAACAAGAATAACATTTTTTCGTACGGTGCTTCTTTTTCAAGATAATCAATTTTCAAAAGTCATCTAACGTGTGCACGTGTTCGTAATTTCATAGTGATAATAAGAAGAAACAGAATGCAATGAACAAACGAAATATTACAGAAAAAATATTATTCCCTATTTTCGACTTATTTGTCTATGTCGAATCATAGATCATATCTTGTTTTCTGGTTGTACCAGCATTTCGGAAACACCCTGCATAAAGAAGAAGAGACGTTTGTTATACGAGGAGATTGTATACCATTTTCATGGCCGATTCTGTAAGTGGACACGAAGAATCGCAAAAGATATCGACTAAAAGCTTGACAGCGTTCACCGTTTAACCCCTTCTTGCCTGTCCCCCCAGCTGTACAAGATGAATCACAATCGAAAAGGACCATTAAAATCGGTGGTACAAGTTTTTGCGACCAGATTCCAACAATTAATCGCTCGACGCCTCGCTGATTGAAATTCAGCAGCGATCAACAAAAAGCAGCATACCGCGCCGGTGACATCAGTTTGTATGTTTTCGTCGTCGAGATCGTTCGGGGACAATCCAGGTAATTGGGAAGTTGCACGCGTCAGGTGTCCGTCCAGTTTGTGGAACGACTCCCGGGGAATTTCCCCCTGTGGAATTTTCAAACGGTACCTCGGCTCGCTCGTTTCGCTCCAGCGCTACGAAGAGGTCTCGCGCTCCGTCGCGTCTCGGGCCGTGTTCGTATCGCGTCACGAAAGCCTAAAATTCGATAGACTATTACTGGATCAAATTATCCACACACGATTTAGAGGTGCAATTTATTGCGAGAAGCTAGAGTCGCGAGGATAATCCAAGGTATCCTTATCCTTATCTTCGAAGCACCTGATCATGCGCCATACGTTTAAATAGTACCAATTAGCCTGACGGGGTTTACAATAACAATTTTCTTAATTAACGACTTTCACACCTCATTAAGGATTTGTTCGGCTGATTAGGCGCCGGGAACATTAAATCTTACAATGTTGTCGATGGAATATTCATAGTGAGGATCGGATGCAAATGAATACGAAACACGTGGACGAGTAACCAGAAAATTGTTTGGCCGGGCACCAGTAACGCTTGCTGGGGCGAGTTTGTAATTAATAGTCGCGGGGCGAGCAACTCGTTGGAAACAGAACAGGAAACGTCGCTTGTATCCTGTCTAGATTGTGTCTTCGTATGTACTTGTCCTACGATTTTCCATTAAGAATTAACACCTGAGAAAGTGAACCGAAAGCCAACCCTGTTCATCGCGAACTGCTTAATTATCGTAGGTTGATATTTAATAAATCGAGATATTTACGATCGTTCTATTGGAACGAAGATATCATCTGAAACACGGTCTGGCTGTTATACCAGATAATCTTTGTAGATTTTCCACGCATTTTAGTAGTTATTATTAATATATGAGAAAAAGATAATTACTATTTTATAATAAAACAAGTCTCTTGATATTCTGTTATTTTATTACTACAGAAATAAGTTGCTAATAACATTTTCTTAACCAACTGTAGGTACATATAGTCAACCTACTCCATACTCCATACAGGAAATCTACCAATCCCTACCATGGGGCTGGTTAACTACCATGATAGGTTTTAGAAAAACATTAATATATCTTGATTGTTACCACTATACTGCGGATTCTTATGCAAATTCAGATTTTTATAGAATAATATACTGAATTGAAATAATGTCAGAGATTCGTTATCTTTATTAAATGTTTCGTTAGGTTTAAAGTGAAGTAAAATTTATACTCCCCTTCCTGAACATTTTTTCTGTGTCTTCTTTCATGGATTTACATTTACGATGAATGCATAGAATGCGCAGTCTAGTTATCACATCAAGTCAACGTTACTCATTTAATCAGATAGCAAAATATATGTTTTACAAAAAATATAATAATCACTGCAATGATAATTCACCCACATAATTTATTCAAAATCGTAATACTGAAAAATTATACGTGATCCACGAAGATACAAGGGGGCGGGGGTGTGTATACGTATACTTTGGTGCTGTGGTGGATAAGTCAGGATAATAATAGGAGTCACGATCAGCCACGGTCACGATACGAGCGGGTTGTGTGATCGTGTATTGGCTGATCGAAAAGGGGGCTGTGGCTAGTCCTTCTTGATCTTGCTGACTCGATCTCAGAAATATCTCCGACGATGTTTCAGCCACGGAGCTCGTCCTGACCTTTATGGTGTTCCCGCGGAATCGCGGACGATTCGCGGTAATTCCGCTTGTAAGTACGGCCATCAGTGATAATGACTTTAAAATGTTATAATCCAGCCGGTAGAAATTGGTATTCAATGGCCCGCGACCATTTCGCGAAAGGTAATCGGTGGTGGGCATCTGTCGTGTCGCCGTTTCAACAAATTATTTCTGCGTTTTCTCACTTTCTTTACGCGACCTTGCGCCGTTCGCTGATACATCCTCACAGAGGGATCGTGTAGCCTGTATTTGGCGAAATGAATAAATAGGACAAATTTATCGGTAATAGACATGGATAGTAATGATAAATACGAGTACTTCTCTGTCGGGGTAAATTGAAAACAATTACTAGTCGTTTAACTTTGTAATAGATGTAAATGATATACGATGAATTTCTAGAGACATCTGCATGGAAAATTCGAGTCCATTTCGTTTCTTCTGTATTCCATGTACATCGCAATCGAGATAAGGAAAATAATCGAATGTAATTTATTCGAAATAGAAAATGCTCTATGTAGCAGGGATTAACGTCGGCCAACGTATCATGTTCTTAGTCGTGCTATAATTCCAAATTACAGGTACTCCGATTGGCGAAATTAACGCGTCAGAGATAATCGCCCCGCGGAAACGTCGTGGTTGCAGGTGCGCGCGCGCAGTGGTAGACGCAATGAAACGTAGCACGCCGTTTAATCGGCGTTTAATAATAATTATCCATAAGTTATAGTATCACTGCGATGGAAATTGTTTATCTACCTGGAGGGCTGCTCCCGATGGAAGACCACCGTAAACGTGCGCGTGTAAAAACCGATCGAGTAACTGCATGTTTAAGGTACTTTCAAGTGTTCGATGGTGGTATCATTAACGAACGTCATTTCACCATTTATTGCGCGATCGGATGGCTCTACGCGGCGGGAAACCATTGCTGCTCAAAGCTGCGCGATCCAATGTAATCGACGACCAGTGAGAGTCGATCCATACTGAATAGCGATCCACGATCATTCGATGGAACCAATTCCACAATAATCCAATAACCCACCCACAAGCAAATTATGAATCCTCCTCCCATTTTTCAGTGCTCCCGCCATTATCCTGGGGGGGGGGGGGGGGGGGGGGAGGGCGGCGGAATGATCACGATGATTCTTCGCGTGTCAAAGAGGGGCCGCCTCGCGGAAACGTCAGCCGAGTGCATACGGGAGACGACGCGGATTGCGAACGCGTATACTCGTCGGATCTCTGCGATCTCTCTTCTTCTCTCTTTCTCTCGAGCGCAGCATAACGTAGTAGTAGCGAAGGTAGCCGACTGGCCTGAGTAAGGTAGATAGTTACTCGAGGAGGACAGCAGAGGCAATGACCCGCGCGCGCGCGAGCGGTTAGTCACGCGTGCACACACGCACTTTTGCACGTCTCTCCTCGCGTATACGTACCGGGCCGCCCTCCTCGGTACTCTTGCCTCATAAGTCCCCCTGGAGTCTAGGTGTCCTTTAAAGAATTACCCTTGCGTGTGTACCAGTCGCCTCCTCTAGACTGTTGCCCAAATAGGTCCCCTTAGACCTTAGATATGCTTCAAAGAATTCTCCAGCTCTCCAAATGGCGACCATCGTCGAATCACGGAAAATTGGAGAAAGTGTGCTGGATGTCTGTAATTCGATCCATCCGTGAGAGTAGTATACGCGACGCGTATTTGCCCTGCGGTCAGGTTCAATGACATTCACGGAGACTCGAACGGGTCCAAGTTCGGTCGTGACGTCGTCGAGCGATACCTTCTTTACTGTGCCAATGTTGCATTCGCTACGGTTCGCGATCACAGGCAAACTTGCACCGTTCCGCGGAACGTTCCTTGGAAATCGGGTCATGTTGCGAAGCAGCTCGACGATGACTGAATCATTCAATTCCGTCCGCGAGCGTGGTTTTTCTCACCGGCTAGGGTGAGAATTATTTCATATCTTTGGTCGCGATTCCGGTCGTTCGCGTGTAAAAAAAAGCATTGGGAATAAAAAATGTGATGGTATACCTTCTGTACTCGCCACTGGAGGAATTCTGAGTTAATACCTTTACTGCAGACTGCAGTTACTCAATTCATCGTTGATTTCTATATGTA